CCTATTTGGACAAATGGAAGAAGCGCCCATTCAGTACATGCTTAGCAAACTTCTGAAAAGACTCCTGCGTTCTCTTTTTCTGCAGTACTTTTGCAGTGGGGGATTCTTGACTTACCATGGCATTATTGTCATTGCTTTAGTACCGCTTCTCGTGCCAGAGCTGCTTTGGCAGCTGCTGAGGGTCACTGGGCTGTGCTTGGCTACTGCCTGGGGATGTAGGACTGCAGGTAAGCAGAGGTGTACCGGGGGTTGTTTCAGGGGAGGTGGAGGCTTCTGCTCTGAACTTCCCTCTTTTTAGGGGGTACGCAGAATGTCTGTGCTGGAGCAGCTGAGCAGGTTATGATCAGTGATGACTTGAGCTGGTACCACACTGACGGGTGAGCTGAGCTTAGATGAAACCATTATCTTTGTGTTAAGGAGCTGTATGTGGGCAGGGGCCTAGGAGGGACACTCAGATGCTAACCTAACATTGTCTGAAAGACCAACAGAGACATCACAGTTCCAGTCCCCTCTTTCCTGTGTGGCCTAGCTTATAAAATGACTTCACAGTTACTCAAACATACTGTTATTTCATTATTTTTGAAACCCTGCTATTCACCTTGAGTCTTAAGGTGCCTGTTGCCCACCTCAGGAATCACTGTGCCCTTGTTTTTTACGCTTGTTGGTCATGTAGACATCTCATTCTGGGGAGGTGGCCCCTGGGTAAAATGACTGGAGCGCAGACCATGGCTGGCACCAGCAATTGGTGTGATTGCACCCATGAAGTCAAGCCAAGCCAGTTAAAATTTTAAGACTGATTTTGAAAATAAGAAGCTAACAGGGGACATGCTAACTGCAAATACCACACCGAAAGAACAACAGTGGGCTCTGTGTACTTAAAAGACAAACAGTTCCTCCCAAGATGAGGAGGAAAGCACTGTTTCAGTCAAGATTAGGAGGAAGTGTGGGGGATTGCTGACTTTTGGCATGAACTCTCCTTGTTAGCATAGTAAGTTAGCATAGTAAGGCTTAGCAGCCCCCAACCCCAGTTATCCCCACCTCCCTCTAGGGATGTGCTCTACACTAAAGGAATGCTGCAGCTGTAGCTGCAAGTGAGAGAAAACTTAGGCCAATGGCAGCTGTACCTGATAGCTGGTGACGAATGAAAATGCCTTAAGGAAATCACTTGCACAGCATAAACTATAAATGCTGTGCCACAGTGTTGTGTGGTGTGCTTGCTTTGTGGAGATTCCACCTAGCACCCATCTCTATGCAGAAATTAAATAAACTAATGTCGTGACTCAGTGTGTGTTTCAGCTATTTACACGCCGGGTACAAGAACCCAGGTTTGGGGACAACACACAGACTGTGAGGCTTAACTGAGGTGGCTTAACTCTATTTTAAATGTCTGAAGCAACTACGGTCCAACACCCAGCTGTGCTAAAATAGGCTTCTCAGTCTATCGAGTGTTAAAAGTTGTGCTAATATTTTCCTGTGCGTATTAATCTCACAGAAGTTTGCTTTCTGGGCATTGGTAGATGTCTTTTGAGTCGCTAGCAGGTGGTTCTTATGTTTTGAATCTTCAAGCTAAAATACTAAACTGAGAAAGTGCGTTGTTTGTAAAGATGTAAAAACTAATCCCTGTGAAAGACTTGTGGGAAGTTGTATTGCTTTTTCTTTTTCAAAGTTTATCCTTTTTTTTCCTGCTAAGCTTTAGAGGCACTATGTGACATTGTGTGGCTGTGACTAAAATGGTGGATTTAGTCTCAGTCCGGGTACTTGTTTGACCATGTCCTATGCTTCAGTCTCGCCAAGTCTGAACATGAGCCATTCTGTTGCATTTCTGGGAACTGTATTGTTTTCTGGAGGAGTAAAGAATGATATGTGTATGCTCCATTTTTTTGGCCTGAATTATCTTCTGAAGTCTTTCCAGACCACCCTGTGTTACAGCCATAACTCAATATTTGTAAATGTTTGTTTTTGAAAGCAGCCATGCTTTTGAAAAGGATACTGCCAACACGTTTCTTGCAGCATGGAACAAATCATGGAGTAGATTAAAACTTGTGAAATAAATAAACTGCTTAAACTATTTTTTTCAGAAGTGGGTGGTCTCGTTGTTGATCACTTGCATATTTTTCTCTTTTTAAGGACAAAATTTGCAGCATGTCCCACTGCCATGAATGCATAGATATGTGAAAACTTTCTTTACAGCGGGGCTTGCAAAATGTTGCCAACTTAGGTGATTCAAGCTGCTAAAGAGATTTAAAAAGGTTTGCTTGAATTGCAGCTTGGATATTTTTAAAGGCCTTAAATACACCCAGAATATTTTACATTTATTTTTCTACCCACTTGACAGTGTTTAAAATGGAGATTTCTGATATGAACAACTGCCTTGAGAATTAACCTCTACAAATAGTACTATTTAGATCCTGGGTTGGTTGTTAATATGTCCAGTGCGCCTCATTCGGCACCAAAAGGGCTAAACCAGGAATTAATCACGCAGCTTCTTTTATGTGAGCCAATATGTAATTTGAATAATTAGACAGCTTTAAAGGTAAGGTGAGTGTGCGACGTGTGCTCGTTACACGTACCATTTAGTGCGTTCCAATGGAGAAAGAATAAGGGTGGAAGTGGAGTGGGGCAAGGAAGGAGAGAGGTTTCTCTTGGATTTTATGAGAAGTGGCAGTTTATCGTAAACCTCTTAGGTTTGATTTTGTTTTCTCTTAAATTATTGGCAAAAGTTAGCTTTTGTGTGAAGAGAAAGAAGCAGGAAATGGCAGTGAATGAGCTCAAGCTGTTTATAACAGTGTGTGCTTTATTTAGAGACTATGGTATATAGGATGTGGGAGTCTGGAAACCCCTGTTCAGTCTGTGATGCCAGCAGAGCATTCTGAGCCGGCACTGTGGCCATCTTGACTTCTGTCCTGCAATGTTTATTTGCAGAATGCAAGGGGTGAAGTGTGGGGTTTTTTGTTTGTGTTAGTTTTCTTTCTTTTTTTTTTCCTGCTTGATTAACCATTTGGTGAAAGAATCTTCAAGCTAAAATCTCTAGTGTCTATTCGTATCCTTTAGGCATAACGCTAACAGTTGGTACTTAAATTATCAGTGAACGTGAATACATTTTTTTCTCCCCAAGTATTTTCAGACTCCTTTTTCGCAGATTCACTAAGATAAAGCAACTAAATGAAGCAATAGCTTGGTTCAGGAAGCCTACACTCCTTTCTTAGAGTTAGCATACTGCAAGAGAGTCTGTATGCAGTGTCTGGAATATCTGATCTTCTGAAGCTAGGTGGTTCACTGAGTAAAGTATGCTGAGCATCGCTCTGGCCTCACTTGAATAACATCTTCTATTATGGGTAGCCTTCCTGCACTTTTTCAGTCGTTTTCAGTGGAATTTTTTTCACTAGTTTTACTAGTGGGATATTACCGAATGTTCAGGAAGAAGTAGTTGGGGTAGGACTCTTCGAGCGGTAAAAGGACAGACATTATCACTGTATGGTAAAGCCTGACCATTCATTTATTCCAAAAGAGTATTGCTAGTTTTGATTGTCAATCAAAATTGTTAGAAAACCAATATTTTTGGGGGAGCTGCAGCAAGCTGCGGGTTGATGCAGCAAGTTGTAGGTTGATACGGGAAACCAAACAGCGTGTGCTAAGTGTGGCACTACCTTCTGCTGTTTCAGCACATTAGGCTGCCTGAGCCAAGCACTGGCAGGAAAATTACGCTTCCACGGTAAAGTAGGTGATAAAAATGCCTACAGTAAGCCATTTGTGTGCACTCCTTAGGAGACTCTGGGAAGAACTTAACTCCTGTTTGTTTTGTCACACCCTGAGCTGTTTCTGGAGGTTAACGATTTTGATCTGTAGTAATTCCACAGTCTTTCAGTGGGTAGAACTGAGTCAGTGTTTACACACACAGAGAAATGCGTTCCAAAGCATATACACCTGGCACACCTGTGCTTTAAATATGTGTCTTCATTTAGCTCTTTAAGAGAAAGTATTCAAACGCCATCGTGCTGCGGGCATGTTATTTTAGCAGAGACATGGAAAAATGGTCAAACCGCCCAGGGTATCTCTAACAGCTTACTGAAAATAAGGACATGACTGGATTTTTTTCCCCTCAGCTTTGTTTTTGCCATGTTCCTTATTAGAGAGAGCAAATATGAAACGAGATGTGTGTTTCAGTGAGCAGAGAATTTTATTACAAATAAGCAAATGGAGCCCATTCTTCAAACTGGCCAATGTTTATCTGTTGGTGTCCAGCTTGGCTGCAGACGGGCTTGGGCTGTTTTCTCTCTTGTCATATCAGAAGTGAATTTGGTCCTGAAAGATAAGGGCTCTCTGCCAGTTTCCTGCTGTGCTAGTTTGTTTATTATGAGTACACATTTCTCCACTTTGCTTTCTCCATTTCTTAGGTTTATTTGATTTTTGCCTGGCCTTGCTGAAGTTCGGAGAGGTCTGTTGTCAGCAGAAGTGAAGTATTCTAGTTGTCTTTGTCAGACCCAATCTCTTTCATTGACACACAAATTCCTTTCCTGGGCATAGCTCACTGGCAAAAATGTTTTTTCCCTTCTTTGCTGGGGAAAAGGCCCGAGGAAGAACCTAGAAGACTTTTCCTTTGTTATCCCTGACAATGTTGCTTGGTAATAGTTGTGTCTAATGAAAATGCTAAGTTCCCTAGTGGAAGAGCTTTCTCAGCTTGATATGAAAATGGGAGCAAGAGCAAGGAAACTGCTGTTGGCACTCCACAAGTAGCAGTAGTTGTAGTTTGCATTTGTAGTGCGGTTTCTAGACGTCAGGTATTTGTGCTGTTTCTTGTAAGCGTTGCAATCAAGATGATTAAGTCTAATGCATGAGTCTGTTTTGTGCGCTTCTCTCTCTCTCTTTTTCTTCTCTAAGTGTAAATGTGGTTTTATATAATGGGTGTCTTTTTGTACCAGGCTTGAAAGAAATGGGATTTGGGGCTGGAGATGAGCGGACTGTGAGCTTACTGTGCTGAAGTGAAAATAATGCTCGTGAGGATGGGGGGAGCGCTTGAAAGCAGCGTGGTTAGGGATGCATTTGCTTGTGCAAGTCGGCATATGAAAAACATTCTGTAAAGGTGCAAATAAATGTAATAAAGCATGCATGCATCTTTTCGTATGGAAGCTGTGTTGCAATCATCTGCTTTCGTGACAGTGTTTCTGACATGGCTTCTGTGACTTCAGGAGGCTGCAGCAGCTCCTGCTCAGGTGCAGTGACCATGAACAAGCCACAGTATCAGATTTAATATTTCAGGAGTAAATTTGTAGCATGTTACTTACTACTTCACAAAATTGGTGTGCAAGTTAGATAGTTACAGTTAGATAAAATTGTTCCTCAGATTTTTGAAAGAGATTTGACCCAAGTTTTTTCTTCTAGCAGATGCAGGAACAGATTAAAATTTATGGACTCTCTTAAGGAGGAAAAGAAATGCATTTTAAATTGAACCTGTTCTATTTGCCAATGCTTATGTTCATTGTCCACCTTGCTGAGGGTTAAGTTGCTCTAGAAGACTGAGGTGAAGTCTTCTGAATTTGGGCTAAGGATACAGCACTTTGCATTTTCTTGTGTCAGTGATTTAATCTTCCAGTGTTGTTGATAATCAAAAACAATTTTCACATTTGGCTGTTTGGTAGCCAGGTGCAAATAGCTGGAATCTGTCATTTTATTTCAAGCTGTTAACTGGACCTGAGCAGGGAAAAAAAATAAAATCAAGTTTCATAGCCAAAGTATCTATGACGAAGCAGAGACAGGATGGATATTAAACCAGCTTTCTACCCCTTACTTTAGAGCTTGTTGTTCATTAAAACTGACTTCCTGCAATTGTTCCCAAAGCTGATGCATGGCGCTTTTTGTAAGAAATAAAAATGCTCTAGACTTTGGCTTTTAGGGAAGAAGAACTTTACTGATTCCAGACCGCAGGAAAAGAAGTAATGTGAATTAACAATTAAAAGGGAATTGTCACTGGGCGTTTAATGCTTAACAGAATCGCTTTCTCTCTCCTGTGTAGTGATCAGAATTTATAAACAGTTGGAAGCTTTACATTTGCCTCCATTAGTTGATACTCATTATGGAGTTTAAAGAGGGTGTAATCTTTGACCTTTCCACACTAGATTTTTGGTGCTTTAGGCAGTATTTCTGTCTCCTGTAACGTAGAAGAGGGACCAAATACTCGTGTCGGGGCCCTTTTCACGTGCAGGGGAGCGCGCTCATTGGTAGGGGTTGGTCAGCTTCAGCCAATCTAATGGATGTGACCTCATGCAGCACTGCATTTGACAGTTGTTTCTTACTCAGGTGTATGAAGCTGTGAGTAAAAAATGGGAGAAAGAACAGTGAGCGGGCTGCAGAAGGTTAGGTTAAAGAGTAACAAACTTTTGTGAAAGACTCTTACAGCTTCTGCTGCTTTGTTTTATTTTGCAGTTTTGGAACCATTATTGCCATTGGAGTTACCATTTTTGCGGTGATTGTAATTACTTTTATTCTGTGCCTCACCTGTTCATGTTGCTGTTTATATAAGGCATGTCGAAGACCACGGCGTAAGTACCTGTATATTCATTTTCTTTTTCACATCTTTGAACAAGCCTCTCATTACTGCTGAGCTCAGTGGAAGGATGTTTGGAGGCATACATTTCTAAATTTTTGGTGGAAATGAAATTACCCAGATTTTGAAGTGAGAAATTGATCTTAAGAGAGAATGGTTTTTATGGTACTGTTGTTGGCTGGCTGAGGTGATCTCCTAGAACCATCAGCACTAACCATGTTCCTTTCGTTTGCTTGTAGCTGTTGTGACCGCCACTACTGCCACCACAGTGGTTCATGCTCCCTATCCGCAACAACCCAACTACCCTGTACCTCCTCAAGGCTATCATCCCGTGGCTATCCAGCCGCAACCGGGAGTGCCAGTGGCACCGTACCCTGCACAGTACCCTCCCCCTTACCCCATGCAGCCGTCAGGACCCCCAGCTTACCATGAAACGATGGCAGGTAAGGCAGCAATGAATCATAGAATCATAGAATGGCCTAGGCTGGAAGGGACCTTAGAGATCATCTAGTCCAACCTCCCTGTCATGGGCAGGGACGCCACCTCTCCACTAGACCAGGCAACACATGGGGACCGAGCGGGAATCGAACCCGCGATCTCGTGTTGTCATTGTTGTCAGCACCGCGCTCAAACCACTGAGCTAACCAGCCCCCTAATGAGTTTCTTCATCTCTTTGTCAGCTAAAGAGACAGTTGCTTTGGAGCCAGTCTTACATAGTTTGCATTTATTATTTTCTCTGACTATATTAGTGTGGTAAACAAATTATGTAAAACTCAAGTTACAGTGGATGCTGTAATTCACCCTTGTGGAAATTTCCCCATTGCCATTTCTGTGATAAGCATTGCAAGAAGAGATGTAGCTGGAGCTGTACTGGCGAAGTTTGGTGGTGTTGTGGGACTGTCAGTGGATGTAGTAGCATATTTTACTAGTTCAGCTGAAATTTCGTATTAAAATTAAAGCCAGATAATGTGTGTGTAGTAGTTAGGTGTTTCTACATATGCTTTTAAATTTAATATTTCCTAAATGTTTCAATCTATATACAGATGACATTTTCTAGTAGTTTGTCCCTGTGTTTGTAGTACACCTTACAGACAAGTGTACTTGTCTGATCAAGTTCAGACAAGTCTGCTGATGACTTGGAGAATTATCAGAATTTTTTCTTTTGCTTTCCTCCTTTCACAGCTTTGTTTTCATCCAGCTTTATCATTGCTATTAGTAGTTATCACTTCTGCTGGTCATAATTGTTTTAAGCACTTGGCTCCTGGCTGTTTAGAGAGGCCAAAACCAGGCTGTTAACCTGTCTGAGGACCTTAAAGCCCTCTTACAAACCATACTGTTTATCCTTCTAGGTAACAAGCAAAGTGTAGTCCTGAATAGTAGATAATGCCCTTAGAAAGTAACTTTCATGACAACTCAAATATAAAATAGCTGTTCAGTCGTAAGCATTTGGAAAACAGGTACAAATTGCACATTAATAATGTGCAAAACGCTGTTTTGGCAGGCCTATTGACTATTTTTCCATTGTAAACTCTGAAGAATCTGTGGGGTTGATGGAATTACCCCAGAGTGCTTTGGCCTCATCTTTATCATGTGAAGGAGCCAATAAAGTAGTCATTTTGCTTCTCCTACTCTCTTTCTCAAACTGCTGCTGGTTTGTTAGTTTTTCAGTCTATTGTTGTTTCTTTTCCCTGGGAAAATCTCAAAGCACTTCCCGTGCTGCCAGCTGAGTGTGCCTCTTTTCTTTATTTCTCTTGTCTATTAGCCAAGGGGCAGTCTCTTAATGAGGTCACGTGCAAGGGAGAGAATCCCTGCTCTGCCCCAGAGCAGCCAAACCCACTCCCTTTGCAAGGTCAGCGAAAGATAACACGCTGATATGTTCCAGGGATCTGGTCAGGTGCTCTGTTATTGGAACTAACTTGTGCTGTTTGACAGACCTGAAAATGAAGATGCCACCTGAAAGCAGCTTGTCTCAGAATACTAGAAAATAAGGGAGACTTCTGAGTGATATGCATCTAGTGTATAAGTCAGACTCTTTATTGTGTTTGGTAGTGGTGAAATGCTTTTTATTTTTTTCCATTTTATTTTTTTTTTTTTAATTAACTCTGTGACACTTACCAGGACAATTTTCCCTGAAGGAATCTCAGGATGCTTTCTCTAGTCCTTTTTCTTTTGCCCAGTGGTTTATTTTAACTTCTGGGCACACTGCCAGGTACATCCTGTTGTTTGTGCAGCACAGACTTCCACTGCCATAATACACGTGTACGCTTAAGCATAAAAAAAAAAATCAAACACTAAAACAACCAACCACAAGAACAGAGGAGGTTTTTTGTGATCTTACTTTTGTAATGTGGATGCTTTATGAGTTAGCACAAACTATTGTCAAGTCCAATTAAAATGCTAGATAAGTTGAACCTCTTAACGCTATGTTCAAAACAAGCTGCCAGTATAGATGTAGATTTCAGAATGTAAATTTTACGAATCTGTGTTGTTTCTTCTCCTTGTATTTTGCTTTTGCAGCTGGAGCTGGAGCACCTTACCCAGTCAGCCAGCCCCCCTACAACCCTGCTTACATGGATCCTCAGAAGCCCACCTATTAAAAGATCTACTATGCTTCTGCATACAAAACTTCTTAAAGTATAATTTGTTCTGTTTACACTGTGCAACTGTAGTATATTTTTCTGGAAGACAGTAATCTTTTAACTAAGTAAAGTGAAAGTAAATTCAGTTTGTTTTTTTTTTTAAAGCTTCGAGTACAAGGAAGGATTATTTTTCTTGCAGAAGTTGTTAATTTATACCTCAAACAAATGCAAAAAGAGATGTTCTGTACACAATGAGAGAAGCGTGAAGAAGGAGTAATTGAGAAATAAGAACCACAATAACATTTGCTGTGCAATAGTTTTCAAAGGAATGGTCTGATACAACCATTCAAACACCCAAAGCTGTAGCAATCTTTTGCACAGTATTAAAAGCTAAAAACTTAATTTCTAAGAAACTACCTGATACATGTTATGTATGTTCTGCCTGGTTTGAAGCTACTATTGTTAGGTAAGCAACAATATAATACATTTCATTTACCATTCAAAAGGGAATTTTCCTATTTTGAAACATATTTGCCTTCTGTAAAGGGTAGTAAACCACATTCAGTTGTCTTCGGACTAGTTGGATTTTCCTATGCTAAATAGCTAAATAGTTGATAATTTCATTTTCTTTCCCAATTTTAAGGCTTAAAAGCTGTGCCTTTATTGGGTGTTTTCTCAGGCCATTTTAGTTTAAACCTAGAAATTAACAAAAAGCCTGAAGTCTCTGTCACTTAGTAGAACAGATAGATCAAAAGCTGAAAACCTGATAATTCTTCATGAAACTTATTGGACAAGCTTGCGTAAGTCTTATATTGTTGATGACTTTGGAAGAAAAATCAGCATCTTCATCACAGGTTAAGCAGGCCAGTGTTCAGTAGGCCTGCCTCATGATGGGAAGGAATTTATTTTACAGGAGAGATAGGATGTCAGAAATAGAATGGAGGTTTGAAATATTAGATTTTGTCACTATATGTGGCTAATATTTAAAAAAATTAGTCAGATTTGCAGGGGAGATAATAAATCCCAGCTGTCCTGGTTTGATCTGGCCCAGCCCTAACCCTGGAGAGCTGCCCAACTCACAGCAGAGATTAAATGTCCCTTTTGTCTTGAACATTCCAAAAAAGCTGATCAGGGAACAAGAAGCTGGGGAAAGGAGGAGTAGTAGGAATCTGGCCACAGCGAGGTAATGTGTTTTTGAGAAGGTAGTGCTTGCAGTTGTGAAACATTTCGAGACATCCTTATGACTATTACCGGTGTTTGCAAAGCTTTTGGCCCTACGCACCTTTTTATTGATAAAACGAAGCATTATTTTTTTTAGTGTCCTCTACAATTCTATCTTTTCTAACATTGAAATATAATTTGTTACTCCTCAGTAGAGCTTTCTAGTCTGTTTTATGTATCACTGTGACATAATTAGTGAAATAATTTTGACAGATGTCATAGACTGATTTTACTTTTTTAGAAAGATCATTAAGCCAGTCGTGTGGTTCTACATTCAGGGTATGTTACTGTTTGAAAAACAGTGATGGTGGCATTTTTTTTACCTCATATGATGGATGAAAACTGCTGCTGTCAAAGGCAGCCTCATTTTTCTCCCTGTTTTTTGAGTCTGTTTCCGGATTATCCCATTATTTTTTTCAAGAGAAGTCTTCAGGGCATTTCAGAAGAAACTTGTAGATTATCATAGGGATTCTTGACAACCTGTGCCCCTCTGTTACAGCTCCATAAGAGAGTTGAAGTTAGTAGCATGAAACAGTGCCAGGAGACACTCCTGGAGCCTGCATGCCCGGTATCCCTGTGTTCCTCCTCTTTCCTGCCTCATAAGTCAAGAAATTGGCCAATGCTTCGTTCCGCTGTTAGGAGAACAACCCAAAATGGACAGTGTGGCCTGTATGGAGGATGAAATGTTTCCTTAGAAATCAGGAGTTTTGCTTTGTGGGAGGGCACTGAATGACTGCAGGAATAATTCCCTTGCTATATGTAGATCTGTGTGTTTATTTCTACGGAAGGAGGGCAGAGACTGTTCCAGCTGCCCGGATGGAGCTTGGCCAGTGGGATGGAGCCAGTGAGCACAGCTGCCGTGCAGCTTCTCAGCGCAGAGGTACCATGTTCTAGCACTCACCCTCACAAGGTTGTTACTCTGCACTGCTCTTCCTTCCCTCCATCTGAGAGGACCAAGTGTACTGTTCCTGACAGTGTTGGTAGGGTCACATTTTGGTTACGAAAGGAAAATCTGCAATTTCATGAGAACTTTGCTTAGTCATCTGCCATCATCCCTAAGGAAAACATGGTAGGAAAGTGGCAACAATAACAGAGGTCCCCAGATCTGAAGCTTTGTACAGACTCAATAAATTGCCCCAAACACCAGTGTATGTGGGGCAGGAGATGAGGGCAGGGTTAAGAAGCCTGAAAATTTACCTTTCCTTCAGTGAACGTATACTAATGGTAACTATATACAAGTGAAGAGATAAATCATTAATAAACAAGAAACCACTTTAGTAGTAGTGTTACTACTTCTGTCACAAACCTTGTTCAAAGAAAACAGCCCATTTCATAATGGGAGTGGTTCATCAGACCTTTTCTTAATGTTAGTGTGTTAATTGTCATTAACAGTAAGGTGTAGGACCAAATTTTATTTGGTTGTTGCCGTGAAACCTGTTGAAACTTGGTTTTATGTAGTTAAAAGAATGGGGCAGTTACAGAAAAGAGAGAGAAGTTGCTTCATAAACTTCTAATTAAAGCACTGCTCATGTGTCAGTCCAAGTAGCCGTTGCCTTCACATCAAACTAGTTATCCACAGTGCCGTAAGGGAGGAGGAATGGAATTAAAATTTTAATTGTTGAAAGAGTATATGTTATTTTTTTTAAAAAAATTCTGTAAGTGCCTTTGTTTCAGAAATGTTTTGTGAAATTAAGTACAGTAGAATATTCTGTTACACTGAATACTAGATAATCATTGATTTTATTACATACTGTAACCTAGCTTTGTATGTTGTTTGGAGTTTAAGTGTAAGTATTAAAAAGAAATGGCATAAACTCTATGCACCTTTGTAATAAATGCAGTGTTTGAAGTATATTCTGTCATTTTGTTTTCTTAGCCTCATTTTGAGCATTATTTAGGAGTGTGTCTGCAAAGCTACATTTTACTTCATTGTGTTTGACTGCTGGTGTTCCTATGTGCAGTTTACGTCACCTTGTATCGTGGATATCCCTTCTGGTAGTGGCGACTGAAGCGAAATCAAAATTACAGGTCACAATGTAAAACAAAGACAATAAAAACTCCTGAATCATGTTCTGAAACGGTTGCTTCTAAAGCCTTGTCTAGCCTCAGGAATAATGCTTGAAGTTTGAATGCAGTAGCTAATAAATCTCTAGTGTAGACAAGATGATAGGCTTCAAATAAGTCTATAATTTGATTAAAGTTTAGTATCTTCTCAAGTATTTTGACTTGTGCGCTGAGTATCATGCCTCATTTATCAGCTTGACCAATTCAACATGTGGTAAGTGATGCCTTCTATTCTGTGAAAATGTTTTTGCTGATGTTCTTGTATACTTTCAATAGTTTTGAAAAGCACCTTTGAAAGGTTGTATTTATGCCTCTGTCTCAAAACAGATATAATTAAGGTCTGGGCTAGAAATTACACCAATTTTTTGTTGCTGCTACATTTTAGTTCGTCTGTTTTTCCTTTCCCATGACTTTTTTGCAGGTGTGGCTGAATTTGAGAAACAACATGCAGAGAAGCTTTTCTGTTCCACGAAAAGCTGTTTGCCTTCCTTTCTTTTTGCACGCAGGTCTGAGGAACAAGTTTTGTTTAAAACCTTCAGGTTTCCTTTAATGAGCATGTAGCGTTTCAAAGGTACCTTTAAAACTGTGGCAAAATGCTGTATAGGAGAGTAAACTGCTGAATTAAAAAGTTGAGGGCCCAGGATTAGATGAGGAATATTGCTGGTTAGGTTTTCATAACGTTTAATTAGAAGTTGTTTGTGGTAATGTGAATTTTTCCAGAACAAAACTTGGCATGCAAGTTCCATGGCAGGGTTACATGGAGGAGCCACACACAGAGGAGAGAAAAAATATAGTAACTATTGCCAGACAAGCAATTATATCTCTCTCCTTCCCCCTCCCGAGTATGGACACTTTGCATCGTATCTAGGCCTGTGTGATAAGGTGTCAGGTTTCCTTTAGCCAGTGGTTTGGTGTAGCCTGTGGCACAGCAGCCTGCCTGGTCACCCTTTAAGTGAGCCATATAGGAGGGGAAAATAGTACCTGAATTAAACCTGGAAGAGGTAAGATAAAGCCAAAGAAAATAAATTATTTTATCTTTTCAAGAACTCCGGCATTTGTATTTATGGAGTAGTCACCTCTGCCTCATCTTTTTATGGCTGTCTCTGCTAAGGGCGTGTTAGCCGTGTTGTAATGGATGTCCGTCTGTTATAAAGTGATTTCTTTAGTTTTGAGACACAATTTACGTCTTTCAGTACTGGATAGCAAGGAGGCTCTGCCTGGCACACTGAGGCCCAGTCCCCCCTCTGGTTCCCCGAGGGCGCAGCGTGCTGTGCGGGTTCAGTTCCCTCTCAGTGCTGTCCCTGCTCTCCTGCACGCCAAGTTGCGCAGCTGTTTCACTTTTTGTTTCATGAGAGTGAAGAACAGTTCAAGATATGTATAAATTAACCTATGATATCCCATTTCCCTTCAACCAGTTACTGGAGACTTTTCATTCCAGCATTTCTTGCTCTTGCAGTTGGTTTTGGTGGGTCACTCTCCAGTGTTACTTTGGGCTGGGAATCGGGCAGGATCTGCATTACAGACTTTGCTGTACAGGTGTTGCAGCCCAGCTGCAGTGTTCAGAAAACAAATCATTCAGCTACATTCTCAAAATACCAACCTACACTATGACTAATGCACAGATATGAAAAAACCACAACCACCCTGGTTCTGTGTTATCTCTGTTAGGGGACTCTGAAGTTACAAGGTTAGAACCTAATAGCCAACATGAAAATAAACTGTTTCTTCTAGGT